GAAAAGTAGCTTTTTTGTGCTTTTAGAGTCAATGATTTAATGCAGGTTTTGAAGTTACTATTGAGTTAAAATTGATTCCTAAATATGGTAATTGATTGTCAATCTATATCTTTTTGTTATCAATATAGAAACTCTCTGAATTATCAATTTTTTTGTTCATAATCAGAATTTTTGTTTTTTTTTACACTAACATTTAATTTCCAGCTTTTACAATTTATAGTTTTGTAATTTACCAGTATATTATCAGTCTATCTGTTGTTTCATATGGCAAAGTTACTCCAGTAAGTAAATTTCTACTGATAATATGTTAATTGTTGGTCGGATGACAATAGGAAACAGGTGCTACTTGTTTGGTGGTAGTGAGGGGGACTATATAAACGTATTACATCGAAAGACACAACATAATGACCCTGATTCTATGCGGACCATAATTCAAAAACAACTACGCGTGATGAATGCATATGATATACTTACTCTATCGTAAATGTTTTTCTTTTTAAACAGAACATCGGTGATGTCTATTCCATCATACTTCCTGTTCGGTGGCATGGCAATGCCAGCGATGGACGCCATTGTGGGGAAAATATCCATCGCTGATAGAATGGAATCGGTCACCTGACCTGGTGCAATACGACTAGGCCAATACGCCAATGAGGGCTCCCTGTGTCCTGCTTCCCATAACGTGTTCTTAGCTGAGCTGCCACCTCCGCCTAGCAGTAATGGGAGATTATTTTCGCATGAAAGTATAATTTAATTTTAATAAGAAATTTGATTCATTAAATTATGCGAATTATTCGATGTGTTCCGGTCATTCCTGATCTGCGCAACAAATCAAAGACACCATACCTAAAGTAAAAATTAAAGTGACGTATATAACCGGTATGGGTTGACCAGATGATGTCAAATAATAAATTTCAATAATAACCACCATAGGTAAGCTTTACAGTAACCATGGTAACCTCACCTTCCTCCTTCTGCCATGTGCCTAGAAATGGTCCCTGGCTTCCCCCGTACTGACACTTCACAGACCACGAACCATTGTCTCCTGCGATAAACACAAATAGTTATAATATAATATCATGTGACCAAATCGGCAATATAGTACTTCTATCTATATATTTTCAAAAAGAATAACCGTCCCACCTGTGAACCATATCAAGGTGTCTTGCTCCTTGTTGGCCTTACGCACAGATTGTACAATTCTCCCTATTACGTCATCGAGTTCTCGGAGAGTATCCCCATAAATGCCATCAGTGGAAGAGTTAGTAAACTTAGTTCTGTGTGCCAATGGCACGTGCATGTGAGCAAATGCAACATACAGAAGAAACGGTTGATCGTGTTGGGAACTGTTAAATCAAATAATAAACACATTTCACGATTTTGGTCGCATATTTTCACAAAAGTGTTACAAGTATTCACATTTTTAAATGTCTATGATTTTCAGAGACGACACACAAACGAAACTGATTCATTACATTTATGTTTTATGCGTTTCAACAGAAATCAATATATTGCTTACCAACCTATTTTCTATGAATTCCAGGGCTTTGTCTGCATATCTTTCGGATAAGGTGAATATGTCAACTGGTTGTTCGATAATAGTAGTGTTCTCATATAGAGGTAATGCACTTTGAGGATAGCAGAGTAAATCGTTGTCTGTAGAACAATAAACACATTGAACAGAACTCAACACATGCAGTCACAGTTAGTACAATTTTAAAACAACGGTACCATTTGTAAGTTTTTTTGCGCCACCACTCAATACACAAGCGATTCACACTTTTTCGCTTATTGATAAAGGATGTTGTAGGTGAATATCTCACATTTTGATTGGTTGTACATCTGATGACGATCTTTTGGACACGGTGCGCATGACGGTATATCATATCCGGGGTTGTCACAGCAACCCATGTCATTGCTGTACGGAAGGCCAAAGTAATAATCGAAACCTACACATCAATGGAGAAATAGAAAATAGTAAGATGAAATACTAGAAAACAGTCATGAGTAGACAATAAAATCAATCCGGGCTCAAATTAGCTATTTTTGTATCATCATACTGTTTTGATTCTCGATCAAATCGTTTTTTCACTTTTACCTCTGTGACTTGGATGGTACCGGCCATTTACGCCAAGGTGCCATTTCCCTGCATTAAAACAAAAACAAATATTTTCAAGTCCAGTCATTAAATTTCATAAGATCAACCATTAAATAAATTAACCAGTAATTATATCCATAATTAAGATTTAGATAACAAGCAGTTACTGCGGTGTCACCTGCTTGTCTGTCTGATTCATGCACATTCTGCTTCTCATAGGGTCAGGAATAGAACTCGAAAATTCTTGTGAATCTACTTTATTAATTCAGATATTTAAATTGACCTCACCTAGCATACCAGTTCGGTAACCTGCCGCCTTGAAGGTTTCCGCAAAGGTTGTCTCATTAAGGGGCAGACCTCCAACTGACTCGATTTGAAAGTTATGCGTCACTCCAGTTCGAAGTCCCAAGCGACCAGTGAGTAAGGCCGCCCTCGACGGTGTGCACACAGACGCACCGGAATGAAAATCTGTGAATCTGGCGAATAATATGAAATACAGAACGAAAATTAATGAGACGGGAGACGTGGGTTAAAAAAATAAATTATGAATGAAAACTGTAATCATCCAAATACGTTGTGTCGGTCGTTGAGGGCGCAACAAAAGGCGATTAACGCTTGAACACTTCCAGGATTGTAATTGCTATTGCAGTCTCACCTGATGCCATTCTTGGCAAGTGTATCTAAATTCGGTGTATTGGACTTGTGTTGATTCCAATTGGCGCCAAGGTCACCCCAGCCAATGTCGTCCGCGAACAACACGATAAAATTGGGATTTTTAACGCGTAAGTTAGCGGGAGTGAACTTTGTTTCGTGGCTACTGACAACCACGGCAAGTAGGACGGTGTACACAGGCGTTGATCGCGGTACCATGATAGCGTTTGCCGAGAACTGCAGTGATGTATGGGGTAAACAAACTATGCCCCCGTCTGTCCACAGCTGTGTCTTGCTGGTCAGGTGACTGCCGCTGTGACTAGCACGTGATTTTATTACACACTTAATACAATGAACTGGGTCACTAAGTGCATGTTTGTATGTGTATCTTAATTGAACTCGGTCCATGCACTCTTGGTATGTACATTGTATCACAGTCCCTCTATCCCCGGTCTGAAAACGGCCATTGTCGATGGAGTGAATTAGCCGCTGTGCTCGGACTGCACTGGGTATGGCTTCCGCGAAGCATAGTCTCTTGACAGCAAAACATTCTATTGAAACGGTCGATTCATTGTTGCCTGTATATTCTGATTTTCAAAACCGAAAGAAAAACATAAATTTTGATACTTTCTATAGACTCAGAAGCTCGGCACAATTCTTTAACCGGCAAGTCTTTCTATATTGGCATAATTATTCGTAACTTTGAGGTACTCTGTCAGGGATCGAAACTTGAAACACTTCTTTTTTTTTTATGTTTTTGTGCCAGGCGACAGTTCCGGACATTGAATGTCACTGTTGTCACTCCTGACTTTTCTTTTTTAATGCGTTATCCTGGCGTCAACCAGGCTCGGTCGAACACAAGCACCTGCGGACCTTAACCAAGGTTTCCCCAAAGTCGCATTCGTAAGTGAATGAATTTCGGCCAGTGGAATTGGCCTTCCCATTGAGTCTGTGGCACACTCACCCAAATTAGAGGTCGACCCTTTGATGTTCAGCATAAGATAAGATAGGATTTGAACTTGGGTCTACCGATCATGAGTCTGATGCGACAACCACTATGCTACCAGTGATCGGTTGGAACAGTTCTAACAACTTTGAAAAGCACTCGGGCCAAAACAATTTTCTGATCTCTCTGACCAAGTATACAACCATATTCTTTTTATTTTTTTATAATCGTAAATCGTATTTGAATATGTTTCTATTTTGGTCTATTCATATTTGTATGTGTATGTTTGTAATGCATGTATATGTGACTGGCTTGAAGCGGCATCATTTCAATCTTAGTAGTTACTTTATGATGACGTCACGAAGAACCACCCAGCTCGAACAAAACCATCACACGTGTACATCGCATTTACATTACATTGGATCGGCCATGCCACGGCATAGGAACATGGGTACACTGTGTCACAATGTGCATACTTACATATTATAAACATACAAGGCAATTCCCATTTTCTTTTCTCTATTCTCAATTTTAGACGTAATTTAATCATTTTAGTTACACATTGGCAGCCGACCATTTTGAACGAAGAAAATATAACAACATCACGTACATTAATAAAGACCGGTTCATACAGCTAGGATAGTCTTATAAGAAAAATCAGATTATCACTAATCACATATATAGCTTATTGTCAAAATAACCTGAAGCGAATCGAAACGTCAACTGTTCGGGAAACTTAAAGATGTAAGATTTTATTGAAAAGGTTATATCTTGTATTATCAGACTAATCTGACTGTGTGAAGACGTCTAACCCAATACGTATTATTTTTATTGAAATATAAGTGAATTGGTTACAACATGACTGAAAAGCTCTGTATAAAATATACAAATTCTGGTGTAAACAACAAGCATATCGTATAGTGATGTTTTCTCATAAATGTTGTCACGTCTAACTATTAAATCAGTCAACATATACTACAATTAATATATGAATAAAATGAAATAATTATCCCACTAGTCATGCCATAATTACACTAACATGTCATATTAGGAGAAAAACAAGTTATACATTTCTTTCGAATTATTGCGAAAATAATTGAATACACAGCATATGTAAACGATTTCTGAATTTAACATTATTTTTTCAAAAACGTTTATCATTTCTTTGTCAATATTTGCCATAGAAGTTATTTAGGACACGTCGAACCCAAAAATATAGTATTCATGTATTCTGTAATGTTATTGTTTTGACAGTGTGGGTTGATGAACACATTCCAATTTACCGTAAACTACGGACACCGTTTTGGCAGCACACGAAATAAGCTTAATTCAATAACAAATAAAAAAGTGTGCGGAGATTGTTATTGTACATATAAAAATATGCGTGTGTTTATGTTTATCATCGAACGAATACATTATACTCGTTTGTGTGCTGTAAACAACTTTGGGATGATTATAATCGAATATGTTCAGCAACATGCAATATGAAACAATAATATTAAGAACATAACAGTGCACGCTTTTTGCGCGTGATTACTGTAAAACATGTCTTTTTCGCGAGCATGTCTTTTTCGCGAATTTAGCGAGAGAACTGATTTGCTAATTCAAGATGTCGCTAATGACTTTATATCAATTAAAAATGGCCGCCAAACAAAGAAATCAACAATGACAAGTGTGATTCCCTAAATCAACATTTCGCTATTACGTCATTTTACCACAATTCGCTAAAATTGCATGCCGCTTTTTCAACATGTTTTACAGTATATCAGTATAGATACTGGTATTGAGAGAGTAAAAAAAAATAACATTGAGGGAAAATGTTCGGTATCAATATTTGCGATTTCATCAGCTGATTTTCCATATTAATTAGCTATTATTGGTGGACTGATATCCCGAGAATAAATTCTGAGGCACATAGATTAACATTATACGCCTATTCATTGTAATAGGGCGTAAGCATTGTCATAATTGTTTTCAGAAATACTCAGACTATATATCGCTTAACCCTATCAGCGTAAACAAATAAAATACGGAACTATATATTTGTCCGCTGTACCTTAAAAAATCACACAAGAGTCTGACAGTGAGTGACAGAAAGAACCCTTCACCAAAGGCGTTTGTATATGACTGAGAGTTGAATATTAATATGCAAAGTATACTAATTATAATAACGCAAAAACGAGTATAATATGGTTGATTAGATAGATTGATTTGGGTTCGTTGAATGCTTGAGCGTAAAGAACCAAGCAACTTAAACACTAACACCATATCACTTCGAGGCAGCAGCTTTCTTCCCACAGCACTTCTCCTTACAGCAACAACACTC